ATTCACCAATTTTTAACATTTTCTTCCATTTGCTTTATCATTTTCTCCCTCTAGATATTTTGATTTTTTTTCTGACCCATTTGAGAACAGGTTGCTTACATCATGCCCTTTTCGTCTTCATACTTTAGCGTATATTTACTAGGAAAAAGTTATTCCATTTAATAATCACCACAGTTATCAAATGTAGGAGCCACTTTTATCCAATCTGTGGTCCACATTCCAATTCTGTCAACTGTTCCAACAGACCTTTTATAGCATTTGCCCCCTCTGGTATAAGTTCCAATTTAGGATCATGTATTGACTTTTTTGGTCAAGTCTCCTTAGCCTCTTTAAACATGGCATAATTAGTTCCTCTGCCTTTTTTTTCCATTTGTGATGGTTGTTTCATAGACTGCTCTTCAATATGTGTTTGGTTGATATTTCCTCAAGATTAGATTAAAGAGATATTGTGTCCTCAGAGTATTGCATCAAAATCAAAGTGTTGCACAGTTACCATTTCCTTTTGTAAAAAACGTACACTCTGTGGGGAGATATTTTGAAACATAAGCATATCCTGCTTCTCATAAAATTCCCTGCTCAACCCCTGACCCACTTAATTGATGGTGTTTGCCTAAACATATCTTTACTATAATGGTTGCAAAATGGTGGTTTTTCCTGACTCCGCCACTCTCTTTGGATTTATCAGTGAGAATTCTACTTTAAGGAAAGCCACTGTCCCATTTCCCCATTTTTCTTTTTTTCATTACTATAGATTCTTGGACTCTTATTTTATTCAATGGCTATAACATATTATTATTATTATTATTATTTTTTGAGACAGAATCTTGCTCTGTCTCTAGGCTGGAGTGCAGTGGCATGATCTTGGCCGCTGCAACTTCCACCTCCTGGGTCAAGCAATTTTCCTGTCTCAGCCTCCCGAATAGCTGGGACTACAGGTGGGTAGCACCACACCTGGCTAATTTTTGTATTTTTAGTAGAGATGGGGTTTTACCATGTTGGCCAGAATGGTCTTGATCTCTTGACCTCGTGATCTACCCACCTCGGCCTCCCAAAGTGCTGGGATTACAGGCGTTACCCACCTTGCCCAGCCATGTATTACTGTTCTTATATTGGTACTCAAATTAACCCAGATTTGGTCAATGAGAGGCCCTGTAAGCTGGCTTCCTTTGACATGTCCTCAGTTTATTTTCTGAGAGCTTCCTTACTTTCAGACAACAAGATGTCCCAGGTCATGGTGTACCTTTCTGCCGTAGCCCTGAAACCAGGGCTGTTTTCAAGAAGACTTAGTTCCTTTTTGTGGAGAAAGGTATTTCAGAAATCAAGATCTGGGCAGAGATTAATTAATTCTGAAGTTAATTTCAATCATAAATCAAGTACAATGTTTCAATTTTTATAAGTCATCATATTTAGGCCATTCTCCCACCTCTTTGTGGTAAAAAGCCAGGAAACATTTAAGCTCTTAAAAATTTTCTTCTATTTACTTGAAGATAATTAATTCTGGCTACCATAATTAAAAAAGCATACTCACTGCAAGAACAACTATGGGTCATAAGTCTCTAGATAGCTACTCAAGTACAATATATCTTCAAAAAGGCTGGATGTAGTATCTCACACCTGTAACTGTAGCATTTTGGGAGGCCAAGGTGAGTGGATCTCTTGAGCTTAAGGGGTTTGAGACCAGCCTGGGCAATATAGTGATACTCTATCTATACAAAAAGTAAAAAAAATTAGCCAGCCATGGTGGTTTGTACCTGCAGTCTCAGCTACTCATTAGGCTGAGGTGGGAGGATCATTTGAGCCTGGCAAGTTGAGGCTTCAGTGAACAGAGATGCAGTGCATTCTGAGGGTGTGCTGCATTCCAGCCTGGGTGACAGAGTAAGACTTTAAGACTCTGTCTCTTTGTCTCTGTTTCTCTCTCTATTTTGTATGTATGTATATACACACATATATATGTATGTATATACATATATATACATACATACAAAATATATATGTATATACACACACACCCACATATATATATGTGTATATACATATATACTCTCAAAAGGATTTTGTGATGGAAGACTGCATAGGTTTTGAGATACTATAATCTATAGAACCCTGAAGATAAGTGTAATAAACCAAAGACCATCTCACTGTATTCATTTTAAAGAAACTGAATCATAGCTTTAGAAAATAAACAGTTTTGTCTGATACTTGTTGCAAAAGATGTTTTGTTTTTCACAGTGGTGTGATATGTAGTAGACTGCTGTGGTAACACATATTATTTTAATGTGATAAAAGTAGATGAACTATAAAATGTTTGCCATAAGGACACCAATTTCTATTTTAACAAATGAAATTAAATACTGTCCCTCGATAACACAGATCTTTCTTTTTTTTTTGAGACGGACTCTTGCTCCGTTGCCCATGCTGGAGTGCAGTGGTGCAATCTCGCCTCACCACAGCCTCTGCCTCCTGGGATAACACAGACCTTTCAACACAACACACTTTTGAAATACTGAAGATGAAATAAATAAACATTATATTTTATATGTGATAGTGTGATAGAACTGGGGGCAAAGATCAAATCTATTTATTCATTGAGTATACAGGACTTAGTATTCATTCCCAACCCTATCATTGCAGGGAAATCACCTGGGACTTTTAAAATTCAGTTTCCAGAGCATTACCCTTGTCCACTGAAACAGTGGGTCTCATGATCCAAGAATCTGTATTTTAAAAATCTCCTCAGATAATTCCCAGGCATTTGGGTACCAGACTGGTTTGGAAACTACTGAACTTGTTAAAAAACATTTGTATGGGAGTGCAAGTATCATTACAGATACAAGTTGCCCAAGGGTAGGAATCAAGCTTATAAATTTTTATATGCCCAGTAGTAGTTATGAGCATTACATATATTAATAGTAGGCATTCAACATATGTCTGAGAGAATTTTGACTTCAAATTTTATTGGTCACCAGAGGAGTCTTATTATTAAGTTTGTACAGGAGATATAAACCTTCATTAGGGATGTCATACATTTATGTGACTGGGAACACGTGGCATTGCATCCTGAAAAACAATATTGAATTGATGGACAGATTTCTAATGTAGAATGGAACTTTGTTTCTGACCCTGAATTCTGCTAACTTATACTCTTAGAAAAGAAGAAAGAATACTCACATTTATTTGTGTAAGACTGGTCTAGTCTGTAATTGTCTCTGTCTTGTTCTCCTTTCCATTAAATGTTCTACTTGATGCCAAAATGACTAGACAAAATATACAATAGCATTTAACATTTGTATGGTTTAAAACAGTGGTTCTCAAAGTGTGGTCAAAGGACTCCTGGGGGTTTCCTGAAAGCCTTTCTAGTAATCTGTAAGGTCAAGCCTGTTTTCTTAATAATACAGTGTTATTTGCCTATCTAATTCTTTCTTGAGTGTATAGCAGAGTTTGCCAGAGGCTACATGATGTATAAGAGTACAAACATTTAATGCTGTATAGATAGGAGAATCTGTCTTCTATTAAGCCAGACATTAAAGAAATTTGCAGCTGGGTGCTGGTGCCTCATGCCTGTAAGCCCAGCACTTTGGGAGGCTGATGTTGGGGGGAGTGAGGTCAGGTGTTCGAGACCAGCCTGGCCAAGAGACCAGGCTGGCCAATATGGTGAAACCTCATCTATATTAAAACTACAAAAATTAGCTGGGAGTGGTGGTGGGCACTTGTAATCCCTGCTACTCTATAGGCTGAGGCAGAAGAATTGTTTGAACCTGGGAGGTGGAAGTTGCAGTGAGCCAAAGATCACGCCATTGCACTTCAGCCTGGGCGACAGAGTGAGCCTCCGACTCCAAAAAAAAAAAAGAAAGAAACACACAACGCCATGAACACATTTATCGTACTTAGGTTAGCCGGGTCTGAGAAGAAATGGAGAAAACAGAGTTGATTCTTCTTACTTCACAAGTTACCCCAGGGTTGGTTCTGTTGGCTTTCTTTTGTTTCCATGGTTGTTGCCTTTCCACAGCTCTGCTACGTAAATTGTTGGAAAAAAAATTATTTTAAAGTTCTCTGGGACGAACGCGGTGGCTCACGGTTGTAATCCCAGCACTTTGGGAGGCCAAGGCGGGAGGATTGCCTGAGGTCAGGAGTTCAAGACCAGACTGGCCAACATGGCGAAACCCTGTCTCTACTAAAAATACAAAAATTAGCCAGGCGTGGTGGCAGGCGCCTATAATCCCAGCTACTCGGGAGGCTGAGGTAGGAGAATCGCTGGAACCCAGGAGGGCGAGGTTACAGTGAACCGAGACCGCGCCATTGCACTCCTATCTGGGCAACGGAGCGAGACTCCATACCAAAAAACCAAACAAAACCAAACAAAACCAAAAAATCCCCAAAACAACAAACAAACAAACACAGAAATTCTCTGGTATTATAGTCATATTTCTATTCTATTTCCACGGCAGGTGAGAGGATCCTTTCCCATCCCATGTTGTGATAAAAACACCTTTTTCAAGGGAAAACATGTTTTTTTTTTTTTGTTTTTTTTTTGTTTTTTTAGTGGCTTGGAAACTATACACTGCAGTAATATTAGTCTGCAAATAAAACACCTGAAAAACCCATCCAACAAAGGAAGTTTCTAAATCCAAAAAGGCTCAAAGCTATGAAACAGAACATTTGGTCTCTGATAAAATTTTATTTCTAAATAAACCTAAATGGAGTTGGAAAGAAACAATTTCCAACTTACTGTGATCCAGTTTTCTTTTCACGAACTCCTTTTTGCTTAGCCAATACGAAAATGAGTACAGAGGTGGTGTCAGAGGGCACAATAAATTTCTCAACAGATTCCTCTGCCCCTAGTGGAGGAGGAAAAAAAACAGAGGAAATGCCAGAGGGCTTCTGGGAGTTCTCCAGCTTTCCGACCTAAATGCTGAGGAGGTAAGGGGGCGGGGACGGAGCTAGGGCAGGGCCCGAGGCTGGGGCTTGGCACATTGATTTCCCCTCCCCTCCCTAGTTCTTTTCCCTTGTGCCCCTCCCACACGCTTGTCGCCACGATCCCGACGGGCCCAGCGGCTAGGAGAGTCACGTGAGAGTGGGCGGAGGAGGTGGAGGTTTGTCTCCGCTGTTTCATCTCTATGGCTGTCAGAGGTGGGCGGCTTTGACCGAGGAGCTGGTGGAGCTCGTGCTTGGACGCGTGAGTCTCGGACTCTGGAGGGTATGAAGAGACAGCAATTTGGGGAAGGGGAACGGGGTTGGCGAGACAGTCTTAGGGAACTGGGCTCCGTCCCGGGCATCCGGCTACTCCTCGGGTCTGGCGGGATACCTGCCTGTCCCTGATGCGCTCAGCTTTTGGTGCTGAGAGGAGTTCGTAGTCCTGCTTGCTTCCGGTCCTCCGCTTTCTTCATCCCAACCCGTCCCTTCTCCCTGTCCCGGGAAAACTTCTCCCAGTGCCGGGTTCCCAACTTGGCGCCGACGCCCCCCTCCTCTCAGGCGACTGGGACACACTGGTAGGCTTGACCGGCTCTCCTGGAGTTTGTGGATGTGGTTGGAAGTGGGTGCGGGACTTCACAGATGGATTTCTGATACGGAGAAATATTAACCACTGAATCGAAATAAGTGGAAAATCAGTGAGGATTCAAAGGAGCAATACAAAGCGCAGGCTACTCGCACTGTTCAGTTTTTATCTTTTCCAGTGCCTTCCCGTTTTCATTCTCTCTCCCTGTTTTCACCGATCCGTCCTGGCCCTCCGTAGGATGTTTTGAGAAAGAGCTAGCTGTTACTATGTGAACATTGAGAGAAGAGTTTAAAACGAATTTTTAAGTTGCCTTCACCGTAATCTTACGGATTATGGTTTCTTTACCTTCCCTTTTCCATGCTTAAAAAATACGGTGGCCATTAGTAAATATAAGTAGAATAAATATCTTATAGCTGAGGGACTAGAGTGAAATATTTTATTTTCCCTGTGGTACGTTAGGAACTCCCATTTTCTTCCTATTTATTAATAAATGTTTCTATCGCACTCTTGGGTGGCTTCTTTGATATATATGCCCTTGTTTCTATTAGAATGTGTGCGGAAGTGATCTAGCAATATAAGAAAGGAGTTTGCCTTTCATTAGGTGAAACGTGTTCGGGGTTGATAGCTGTAGGAGAATTTAGGTTTCATTGGACCATGTGACAAATAATAAACGTCAGCATCTTGAAACAAAGGTGTTGGCCAGAATGACCCACTTACTGTGTTTCTGGTGTGGAGAAGGTAGTGAGCTTTTTGAATATTGCCTTATCCTAAAAACTTTAGAACTCACTGCCACTTGTCTGTGAGAAGGTGGCTTTTGCCTCTAGCTATTCTTTCACCCCACCCTTGGTATGTCCCTGATTACCTCTTCACTTAACATCCCTCTGGCTGTCTAATATATTAAGAAAGTGTCCCTGACACCTAAGTGTCCTTACTGAGAGTCATAAAACATAATGTTAGCAAAAACTGAATATTCTGGAGTGGCTTGTGTGCGTGGGGAGAAAGGGAAAGAATGATAGAAACGAATAAAAACTAATAAATGCAAGAGAACAAAAGTATTTATTGCTGTCTTCCTTTATATTTACTGTATCCAGCAGACTGTTTACATTCCTAAGACTGTTTACATCTTTTTTTTTTTTTTCTTGAGACAGAGTTTGTTTTTTTCTTTCTTTTCTTTTTTTTGAGACAGAGTTTCTCTCTTGTTGCCCAGGCTGCAGTGCAATGGCACAATCTTGGCTCACTGCAACCTCTGCCTCTCAGGTTCAAGAAATTTTCTTGCCTCAGCCTTCTTGGTTGCTGGGATTACAGGCACCTGCCACCATGCTTGGCCAATTTTGTATTTTTAGTAGATAAGAGGTTTCACCAGGTTGGCCAGGCTGGCCTGAAACTTCTGACCTTAGGAGATCCACCCTCCTCTGCCTCCCAAACTGCTGGGATTACAGATGTGAGCTACCGGGCCCAGCCAAGAAGGGCATCTTGAGACTAACTTTCCTGTATTTAAGAATAAAACATCGCTCAGGTAGGCTTGCATATGGAAAAAAAAAAAAAAAAAAAAGACTAAAATGATGGGTGTGGTGGCTCAGGCCCGTAATCTCAGCACTTTGGGAGGCCAGGTGTATACCTTGAATCCAGGAGTTTGAGACCAGCCTGGGCAACATGACAAGACCATCTCTTCAAAGCATACAGAAATTATTTGGGTACATGCCTGTAGTCCCAGTTACTTGGGAGGCTGAGACAGGAGGATGGCTTTGAGCCCTTGAGGTTGAGGCTGCAGTGAGCGGTGATTGTGTCATTGCACTCCAACTTTGGTGACAGAGCAATACCCTGTCTCTTAAAACAACAACAACAAAAGAATAAAACAGTGTTATGAAATTTCTCCATAATGCAGTATTATGCAAAATAATCATAACTGAAATATTTAACTGACCAACTCCTTCAGATCTTATGCTATTCAGAGTTATAGGACTTATATAATTGATAAAGCTTCCTTTTTTTTTTGAAGTGGAGTCTTACTCCGTTGCCCAGGCTGGAGTCTAATGGGTCTTGACTCACTGCAACCTCTGCTTCCCAGGTTCAAGCAATTCTGCCTTAGCCTCCCAAGTAGCTGTGACTACAGGCGTGTGCCACCACACCTGACTAATTTTTGTATTTTTAGTAGAGATGGGAGATGGGGTTTTACCATGTTGACCAGGCTGGTCTTGAACTCCTGTCCTTGTGATCCTCCCACCTTGACCTCTCAAAGTGCTGGGATTACAGGCGTGAGCCACCATTCCTGGCCTTGATAAAGCTTTTAAAAACCCATTTTTTCCACTTTCAGTCTTTAAAGTTAGCTTTATCTCTTGAGCCATTTTTACGATGCCTGTAGCACTTGCTAAACATTAACCATTTTTTCCATATACAGTTGTTTAATGTTTCCCTTTTAAAATGAGAACCAGTTTTTAATTAATTAATTGTTTAATACAGATGGGGTTTAGCCATTTTGCCAAGGCTGTTTTCTTTTTTTTTTTTTTTTTTTTTTGCAAGGGGAGGATGAGTCTTGCTCTGTTGCCCAGGCTTGAGTGCAGTGGTGTGATCTCTGCTCACTGTAACCTCTGCCTCCTGGGTTCAAGTGATTCTCCTGCCTCAGCCTCCCAAGTAACTGGGACTACAGATGTGCACCACCACACCTGGCTAATTTTTGTATTTTTAGTAGAGACAAGGTTTTACATGATGACCAGACTAGTCTCAAACTCCTGACCTCAGGTGATCCACTTGTGTCAGGCTCACAAAGTGCTGGGATTATAGGCCTGAGCCACCATGCCCAGCCTGCCAAGGCTAGTCTGAACTCCCAGACTCAAGTGATCCTGCCACCTTGGCCTCCTAAAGTGCTGGGATTACAGATACAAGCCACCATGCCCAGCCACGAGAACCTGTTCTTAAAAAAGGTTTACTTGCTGGGTGTGGTGGCTCATGCCTGTAATCCCAGCACTTTGGGTGGCTGAGGTGGGTGGATGACCTGAGGACCAACATGGTGAAATCCCGTCTCTACTAAAAATACAAAATTAGCTGGGTGTGGTGGTTCATCCACCTGTAATCCCAGCTACTTGGGAGGCTGAGGCAGGAGAATCACTTAAACCCAGGAGGTAGAGGTTACAGTGAGCCAAGATTGCGCCATTTCACTCCAGCCTTGGCAACAAGAGTGAAACTCTGTCTCAAAAAAAGTAAAATATAAAAAAAATAAGGTTTACTCAGCTGTTTTTCCTACTCATATTTTCTCTTTCTCCTTCCTTTCCTTTAATTTTCCTTTTTCTTTTTTCAAATGGAGTTTCGCTCTTGTTGCCCAGGCTGGAGTGCAGTGGCACGATTTCGGCTCACTGCAACCTCTGCCTCCTGGGTTCAAGTGATTCTCCTGCTTTCCGAGTAGCTGGGATTATAGGAGTGCACCACCATGCCTGGCTAATTTTTGTATTTTTAGTAGAGACAGGGTTTCACCATGTTGGTCAGACTAGTCTTGAACTCCTGACCTCAAGTGATCCACCCTCCTCAGTGTCCCAAAGTGCTGGGATTACAGGTATGAGCCACTGCAGCTGGCCTTGCACTCATAATTTCAAAATGAAAATATTATAATAGCTTTATTTTGTGCCAGGGGAAGAAGGTGATTGTTTTTAGATAGATATTCTATGTGTTTTGGCAGATTATGAGAAAATTGTTAATACTTGTAAGACATTGAAATATGAATATCTGAGCATATTTAAGAAGAAAACGGGCAATATTTTTTATGTTTTAGATTTTCTATTCTAAAAGTAATAGGCTTATTTTTGAAAAATGGAAACATTATGGAAAATACAACATTGAAAGTCAAAGTCCTATTTTACCTCCAGGTAACCACTAATTCCCTTTGCATATCTGGGAATCATCGTGGAAAAGTAATTAAGTCTCTGGAGTCAGACTCCTTGGGAAAGATTGTAACACCAGCACTAGGCTTACTTCTTTCAACCTCAGAAACCTGAGAAGAAAGAGAACTTCCCTTTCTCTACAGTTCAGCAGACCACTCTATGGTAGTTTTATTGACCTGGCTTGAGTCTTTGCTCATCCTAGAGGCAGTCCCTGTGGCCAGAGTGATTAATGCTTTGTGTGGCTAGGTTTGGAATTTGTTCTTATCCTGCAGTGGGGAGGAGAGAGTAGTTTCAAACCATTTGAATTAAGGGTGGGTGACAGTTCCTAAAGGAAAATTGAGGTGATACTTTCTGGAGAAGAGAGATTGGTTGCTGGACAGGCAAAAACAACAGATGTTCACTAACATAATTTTCCTGTTTTTTTTTTTTTTTTTTAAATTAAGAGAACTTGCTTTCCTTTTGCAATATAAAAAATTGTATTTACATTTTATGTGTTGACTTTTTTCTGTTTTTAATGTCTATTATAATAACTTCAAGAACTTGAAATTTAAACCCTTCCATTTTGTATATCTGTACTGTTAGCACATGTTTAGTACCCTTGCTCTGGAATATTCAGATTTTATAACTTTAAAAAGATTATGTATTGGCCAGCTTGTTAAAACATTAATATTTTTATTATTGTGGGTGAACTTGATTAACAACTGCAGTTAATAAATAAATAAAAATGTTTTAAATATTTAAATACATGTTATTGATATGATTAAATGCTTGGTTCTTTTCATTATTTCATGTTTAAAAATCTGTCAG